GTCTGCTGAAACAGGGGAGCCTCAAAGCCACATGGCCCAGGGGCCAGGCCAGGCTCTGTCCCCGACGCACAAAGCTGGGCAGAGGGGACATCATCTCTGGGTGTGGGTGGGCGCCAGCCCCTTGACCGCCGGTGCAGTCCCACCTGACGCTGCAAGGCTGCGAGGGGAGGGATGCAGTGAGCCCTGGGATGTCCTCAGGACTCAGCAAATGTCTTTCCAGGATTTACCAGCCTGAGGGCTGGGTCAGACCAAGCTGGGAAAGTCCCACAGCACCCAGGGTCCTGCTGCTTGGCCTGGCAGAGGAGCCCAGACTACCACAGCCCCTTGGCATGGGAAGCAAGGGCTGCTGCACCCCCAGGAGCTGTTTGCCTGCAGGGCCCTGCCCCAGCACCTGGAGATGAGGGCTCGCTGCAGGGGAGGTGCTCGGAGGAGGTCATCTGGTGCTTTTTGCACAACAAAGCCATGGGCTGCTCCTTTATCTTGTTCTCCCTCCCCTATTATCAATAGTTTTTCTGGTTCAACTGGATTTCCCTGCTGCCACATCCCCCAACAAAGGAAGAAGGTCTACACAGTGGAGGTGAGGAGGGTGAACCCCCCAACCCTGCCTCAAACCCCTCTGCAATTGGGGAACACAAATAGCACCTGGTAAGTCAGCAGCACAGGGGGTTTTGTGCTGACCTGGAACAGGCACATGCCTCTGCTACGCTCCCACAGCACCCAGTCAGCCGCGGCTGCTCGAGAGCGACGCATCCGCAGGGAGCACCCGCTCCATGCTGGGAAGCCAGGCGCTGGTGTCCAGCTCTGGTGGCTCTGTGCCTCGGTTTCTTGCCTGGGAAGAAGAGAGACAGGAGTGACAAACTGGATGTGTCACCATGGCAGAAGGCTGCCTTGAAGCCGTGTGTGGCACATGCAGCGGCTCTCCCTGGCACCTGGTTGGGTTTGGTCTTAACTGCCAGTGCTAGCAGGCACCCTGAGCCCCAGGACGTGGTGCAGAGCTCACCTCATCCCCGCTCCTGGTCAACCCAACTCTCCAGAGAGCAGGGACGAGGTGAGCTCTGCACCGCCACACGTCACCGAGGCGCATCCCCATTCCCCAGCCCAGCAAGTCCCCATCTGCTTCAGCCCCAGCCAAGGAGCTACGTGCCTGCAAACATGCAGCAGGACACAGTCCCTGCTTCTGCTAGAGAGGCAAGCAGTCACACCGCAAAAAGGGAAGAAGTGGAAACCAAACAAAATATTCAAAGCCCTGCCAGGAAGGTGACACCGCAAGAGCTCCTGGGTGACAAGTGGATTTGTTTCTCACAACATGCCAGGGAGTATCTAGAGGCTGTTAACTTCTGGGGAATTCAGGGAGGAGTTGGGCATGACTGTACTAACGGCTCACGGTACTCACCAACAGCTTCGCAAAAAAGCAGGGCTGATGCAACAGCAGCTTCCACACACACTGAAGCACAGTTGTGTATTTCTTCCTCAAACCAGAGATCTCTCTTTAAATCAGGCAGACCCTGGAGCTCCTGGCTGGCAGTGGGGAAAGATGCTGCTGGTTGCTGGCACTGGCTACTGTGCCCAAGCATGAGGAGGAGTCGCTGTGTCCGAGGCATCTCTCGGGATGTCAGACCCGATTCCACTGTTGGTCCCTCCACTTGTGCTGCCTCCAGCGCCGCGCCATGTTGCACAAGCTGAGACTGCGCCTTTGCACACACTTCACAGCTGCAAGAGTGGCACTCGCAGATACCAAACCCTCTCTACGCATGTCCCTACATACCCCGAGGAGCTCCCAGGCCATAAATCCCACAGGCAGGCGGGTGTTATAAAGTAGAAGGACACTGGGGGACAACAGTGTAGGCAGCTGCAGGGCTGTGCACGGCACTCAGACACTGCCTGTGTCAAACCTGGATGTGCCAGACACGGCATGATGCCGACAGGTCCCTGAACAGGAGCTGCCACCTGGTGGCACTGGAACAATCCCGCCGACTGCAAGGACCTGGACCCGGACATTTGGGGTGGCCTTGCACCATGGCACAGACTGCTCAGTCGTGCTGGGGAGGCTGGGCTGCTCTGGCACAGCCTGGCATTGCCGCTTTCTCCCTGGGACACACACCCAAGGTGAGGAACTCATCCAGGCTCTGAATCCTGGCTCTCGCCAAGGGTGCTCCAGCTGTAGCTGCCCCCCACAGGTTTTGCTACTCTAGTTTGTGCCGGGCTAGAAGTCAGCTGGGAAATGCCATCTCCAAACCCCCTCGACTTCCCACGGCCACTCTGGATGTGATGACACAAGGTCAAGTGGCTCTGGTGAGACGCAGCTCCAGGAGATGTGTCCCTGTATGCGCCATGCCTCAGCCAGCCCACGGTGGGACGGGATGTCTTGGTGCAGGGGGGACAGGAGCAAAGCGAGGAGGTGAACAGAACCGCCAGGCCAGAGTGCTTTTCTGGGGCCAGAGAGGATGTGGTTTGGAGCTTGCTGGGAAACTCCAGAGCACAGCACAGGCCCTTCCCAGCCAAGGTTACTCCTGACAGCATCAAACTATGCCAGCTGTGTCGGGAGGAAAGCCTGGAGGGAACAGGCTCTGCTGGTGGGGAAAGCCTCTGGGGAAGTTTCCTTCCCTTGATTCTGGGAAGCCTCAGCTGCACAGAGGAGCTGGGGGAAAGTGTGGGCTGGGGGCTGCCAGCCCATCCCTGAAGCCTCCTTGCCCACCATGATTCCCCTTGCTCAGCAGGACTCAGCCCCATCCCACTTCCCAGAGGAGAGGGAAACAAAAGAGGAGGAGGGGGAAGGGAAGGGTCTAAGAGAAACTTCTTCCAACTTCTCAGGAAGAGAAAAGCCCTATTCAGGCAGGAAGAATACCCATGTGGAGCTGGTCACTAAGCAACTCGCAGCAATTTGGTACGGCCTGATGCACGGACAAGGAACAAAGCTGCCTCACTGCCCACCGAGAGCCCAGCCGAGTGAGCATGGGGCCGGAGAGCCTGCAGGGCCCGGGGACAGGGGACACCAGCCATGCAGAGCCACCGCAAGGGGCTGAGACATCCAGCGGGGTCCAGAGCTTCTGGGTGCAGGAGTTTGTCCTCAGTCGGCTCTGAGGATGACTGGCCTTCATCAGGCATCCCCTTCAGGGGGAGGATTTCTGGTCTGCTCCAAAGCCGGTGGCTCCTCATGGGTTTGGTGCTCACGCAGGGCTACAGACAATCATTCCCAACAGAGGCACAGTGCATTTCGGGTAACTCTCTGCTCCCACAGTGCGAGGTTTGTATGGGCACAGCAGCCAAACGCAGGCTACACCCTCTCCCAGATAAACCGAATTCTTCATTTAGATGATCAATGTGGGGGGTTGTCCTTTGCAAACAAGCTTAGCGAGACATGAGAAACTGCTTGGCCTCTCCGCACAAGGAAAAAAGGGACAAAAGAAATGAGGCCTGACAAACCCTGCTGACAATCCATGCTGAAATGCCTCCCTTGGAGCCCAGGGGGTCCCTGGAGACGCTGCTGCCCCCAGCAGAAATGCTGCACAGAAGAAAAACCACTCACAGCCAGAGCAGGTCCACTGGGACCAGTGAGTGTGCAGCTGGGCACCAGTCCAGAGCCTGATGAGCCTGGGGAGATGCACTGGACCTGCCTGGACACGGGAAGTGGCTTTTCACCTGTGTGCCGTTATGGGGGAAACAGCCAGTCCTTTGTGCATTTGTCTCCAGCATCTGAGATACTTGGAAAGCAGCTGTTGGGATAAGGACAAACTCGCCAGGTGTTTACCCACTTCCTCAGGGAGGTGTTTGGCCAGCTCTGATCCCCATCAGATAGCAAGGTGAACAAGTGGGGGACGCTCAGGTGTGTCCACACAAGCTGCAGAGCACCTGCAGATGGAGGTATTCTCATTAACACTCAGTCCTACCATTTCCTGGCTTCATCATCCACTATCTCAGCCTTTAAGCAACTGCTTTGGACGCACACTAAATAACCAGATCCCACAAGGCCGCAATGAAAAATCAGCTTGGCCAAAGTAGTGTCGTTTATTTTGCTTGCAAAACCCCTTTCAGAAGGCAAATATGCTGCAGGCTTGCTGGCTGCAACCAGGTCCCTCTCAGCACGATGGGGGACAGGCATGCCAGCCAGCAGTGAGGACAGACAGCATCCATCCCTGGACTTGGAGGACCTCCCTTGGCAAGAGAGCAAGCACAACCCTCCTGGCATAGCTGGGAGCCAAGCATGCCAAAGCCCAGCTAAGCAGAGACTCGGCACACCAGGACCGTGACATTACATTCACGTGTCCTGCAGCCAGAGGAGCCCCAGAGCAAGAGGCACCAAGTCCAGCATGCCTGCTGCACCATGGAAAGCATTTACCTGTCCTTGAGCTGATGGTGGTGCTCCTTCAGAGGTGTCGTGGCCACACTGGGAAGCAGAAGCAAGACACATTCCCTCTCAAATTAGTCACCTGGAAGTGTCCAGTTCATCCCTTTTATCTGCAGAGAGTGAGAGCAGCACCTCCAGGAATTAAGTCAACCTGAGACAGGATCTGTGTGTCCACCTCCATCCACTGGCTGCAGAGGGACCTTGCTTAGACAATACACCCAACTCCAAGAACGAGCACCACTAATAGAGAGGATCTACCCAGAACAGAAGTAGCCCCAGCCTGAGGAGCATCTCCTTGCAAAGAGAGAAAACCTGGACGAAGATACAGGACACTGGACCATATGCTACCCAGATCCATCCTGGATTCTTCTTTCCCAATACCAGTGCCTACAACCATCAGCAACAGTCTTGCAGCATAGACAGAAGGGACTTGTTTCTTGGCGTGCTGCATTTCCTTGCTGCTCTTCTCCTGGTCTTGTAGCATTTGCATATTTGTAGAAACATTGTGAGAGAACAGAGGTGCTGAAGGAGGGAAATATCTTTGTGAGGATGAAATGTGCCTGGAAGTCCAGAGCTAACCTTGGCTCTGGTGGTCCTCTTCCGTTCCCAGTGAGGTAGTGTTGAGATTTCCCAGGCAATGGCCCTTGCCACACAATCAGGATCTCTGGTAAAGCTTCATGATGTTCTCATCATGAAGCTTTTTCCACACCTGCTTCTCCAGGTCGAAGTCATGGTTAGTGTAGAAAATCAGACGTTTCCAGTCCTTGTCATAGTAGTGATCTGAGTACTTCTCATGACCCTCCGTGATGTAGCCATAGGCGCTCACCTAGGGAAGATGGAGGGCTCACTGGGGAAAGGTACTGAGGACGGAGGGAGCTAAGTGAAATACAGGACAGTTCCCAAATGGGGAGGGAGCACAGGACAGGGAAGCCAGTCAGGGCCCCTCTGAGTGACCCTGCATGGGGGTCCAGAAGGACCAGACTGTGAGCACTGGCTCCAGAGAGCCTGCTCTCCTCCCACTGCCTCCCTGGGAAGCAGGAAGGTTCTCAGGCCACAGCACCCTTCACAACCTCTATGTGCACTATTTCGGAGCTGTTTCTCTTGTCTTCAACCTGCTCCCCCACAGCTGACAAGAACCCATAAGCCCCTCAAGACAGGTGGTAGGCAGGGTCGGAGCCACTCCTGCTCTGCTGTTATCCATCCCCCCTGCCAGACAGTGCTGTGTGCAAGAGTCATCGTGCCCTTACCCGGTCACAGAGGTGGAGGGCTGTCAGCAGCAGGAAGGCCCCTGTTGTGGGTCTGTACAGCCGCCAGTAGGGCTTTTCCAGAGTTTTAGATTTTAAAAACCTGCAGCAGGAGAGAAGAAAGCACAGAGCAGTTGATGAGTGTGGTGGTTCAAGCTGGGCACACCTCATCCCTCTATGGCCCGTGTGGCATCTTCCCCCCTTGCAGTAGTTCATGGCCATATGGGGCATCTCAGACAAGCCATGAGTATGCCCACACGTTTTGGTACCACTGTGTGCTCAGTAAAGCACAAGGCCAGCCCAGAATGTTCCATCACCTGCATTGCAACCTAACCCCGGCTCTGCCCCAGCTTTACGGAAGAGGTAGGTCTTGAGGCCGTGGGGATAAAGAGGGGGTGGATAAAGGATCTATTATGTTAAAACCCACCCTTACAGCTGTCCTTTGCCTTGCAGCGCAGAAGTGGCTTTGAAGCTCCCTGGTATATTCTCCTCCCCATCCACATTCAGCAGTGAAATGAGATGTAGAAAAAGTGCAGAGGAAGGTCTCAAAACCTGCTAGGAGCTGCAGTGTTTTGTGCCAGCAGTTGTTAGGAAGGTAGAAGTCCACACCAGGAAAAAACAGCATTCAAGCCCTCTTGGCCTTGGAAAGGACCCAAGTCAGTGGGGAGACAGCAGAACGAGCAGGGAGGTGCAAGCCATCTGGCACTGCATTTGCCTTGTCTCAGAGAAGGCATAACTGCTCTCAAGGAGACCGAAGGGTAAATGCAGCCAAAGCAGGGCACAACAGGAGCTCTTCCTACACCTCCTGGTCACGTGTGGCCCATGACTGGCAGATCTTACAGTGTCCAGCAGGCTTGTGAAAAGGATTAGAGAGGTAAAGGCCTCAAGTTGTGCCAGGGGAGGTTTAGATTGGATATTAGGAAAAATTTATTCACAGAAAGGGTTGTCAAGCACTGGAACAGGGTGTCCAGGGAAGTGGTGGAGTCACCATCCCTGGAGATATTTAAAACATGCATAGATGTGCTACTTAGGGACGGTTTAGTGGTGGACTTGGCAGTGCTAAGTTAATGGTTGGACTTGATCTTAAAGGTCTTTTCAGACCTAAACTATTCTAGGATTCTATGAAAGGTTGGTCCTGAACTACAACTATTCTGGCACTTCAGCAACACTCCTCCCACATCTAACATTGCCACTTGCCCAGGACCTCTTTTGGATGCAGAAAGCCAGACTGTCCAACGGCTGTTACTTCTCCAGCTCACAGATGCTGGAGGTCTACCCACCACTAACATCCCACTGCAGCACCGCAGAGCATTTTAACTAACTGCACACTGGTGAAGCCTACCCCAACCTGGTGGTGTGGCTAAACTGCAGTTACAAGGGAGTGAGCTGGGAGGAGAGAGCCCAGGGACAGACAGAGATGGTGCTGGTCAGAAAAAATAAGCCCGTTAGAGCACATAACCCACAGCTCACCTGTTTTTCATGTATCTGAGGAAATCAGGGTGAACCACCAGGTATTTCTCCATTGTGAAATCTTGATCAAATCTCTCCCGGGGCCTATGCCTAAGGACAGGAATGGGGAGACTCAGGACAAGCTCCTATATTGCATCACAGCTGGAAAGCATCAGCCCTGATGCACTTGGTGATAACAGAAGAACTACAAACACCATTACATTATTCTGCAACATTTCCCAGATTATGACAAAGCCTCCAAAACCTGCGTGCATTGCAGAGGAAGAGATCAGGGAGGAGAGGCAACAACAGGAGACAGGAATATCAAAAGCATGTGTGTGTATAGGCAAGAACGGGTGAAACCAGGCATTCATCCATGAGTAGGCCACCACACACAGACACCAGACCAGACAACAGTGTATGTTCATCCCAAAGGACCACAAAGCTTTCTCCAAGCTCTGACCACACATCATCGAAATAGCTACTTCTGGGAAGGAGGTGTATTGGTTACAGCAGTGCTCAGAGCTGAGGAGGAAAGAAGATATTTCTCCAGCTAAATCTGCAATGGGAGGGAAGCTTTAACCTGGCTTTAACCTGGCCTGCACTTAAGCAGGGCTACTCGCTGTGGAGAGGAAGAGGGCAAGGCAGAGTTGGGGCCAGTTTGTTTTACCCGTAGTCGCTCAAGAATCCTTTGCTGATGTTCTTGTTCAGCAGAAGAGCCTCCATCCACTCATAGTCTCTAGCTCCCTCCAGGAAGTGAATGTACCTGACATGCTAAGAAAACAAGTGAGCATTAATGAACAGCACAAGAGAGACACATCTTTTAAAAAACAAAAAGCAAGCAGGCATCTAGGCTCACATCTGGGACACACATCTTTGGTCTGCAGCTTTGAACTACCCCACAGAAGCAGAACAGTATCTGATGTGCAGCTACTCCTACACACCAAAGGGATGGGGTAGGACTGACACAGCTTGTCACTGCAAATGCTTACTCTGAGCGGAGCCAAGCCAACGCAGGTTCCCTCACTAGGGGTAATGCAACAGTGTTAGCTCAGCCCCTTTGCTCCGCATGCACGGCAAGATCAGGACAAGGCCACAGACTACCAGCATCCCGTCAAAGCTGTGCATGCATACAGCATGGGCGTGACTTACTTTTCCCCGTGGGATGTTGCTGAACCCTCTGTGCCCCAAGATCTGGAGAGAGGACACTAGGGAGTAGGCTGTGAATCCATAAAAGGAGGTTTTTGTTCCCACATCTTTTTCATAACCTTTGATTACAGCTCCGCTCACCCTGGCCAAGGAAATCAAGCAGAGGAGCAGTTAGCCGATGACCATTGAAAACCCTCAAATCCATGTTTATAACAGGAAAAGACAGTGTTAGTTTGGAGGAAGGGAAGATTAGGCCCATTTTGAGCTATGCCTCTTGATCTACAGGACAACCACTTCCCCTTGCTTTGGAGATGACTCATCTGTGAACTCAGGCTCTTCCGGGGCATTTAGGAACTTTCCAAATCCTTTTTCGTTTTTCATCTCCTTGTGCCACCAGCCATTTTGGCACTTGGAAATCAGTGCAATACTAGAAGAGGTGAAGTGACCCAGCAGCAATTATCTGCTAGCCAGAATAGGTTAGCTGTGTATCTTCTAAGAAGGAAGCCTGCCTTACCGGAAGACGTAGTCATGGGAGTCAATCTCCTGGCCCATCCCAGAGTTATTCAATATTCCTCCATTCCCCACAACAGCACAGCTGACGCATGTCGGCGTGCTGCTGTTGCTGTTGGCCAAGAGCAGCTGCTGGTGAGGATTCGGGGGCAGCAGGGACATGACCTCCTCCACCACTGTGAAGCAAACATGGTGGAGAGTTAGCATCAAGAGCCTTCGGGATGGACACAGGGAAACCACCACAGTTTCCACCATGAGATCTACTTAGCCTGATGCCTTTGACAGGGAGATGCTGTAAATCTCCAGCTACTTGGCATAAGGTTCCTGTCCGTAGTTTGACCGTCCCATCCGGACACGCCCTGAGGGACTCACGTGAACGATTCAGCTCCATGAAGCCATACGGAGGTGCAAAATGTTCCAGGCGGTTCCACTCGCTATCATTGAAGTATCTCTTGTCTGTGAAGAGCATGATGTTGGGCAGGAAAAGATCTCGCAGCCAGTCAGACTTGGCAGCTTTGGCTTTCACTGATTCAGAGCAGGTCTTGAAAAACAAAAAGAAAACAATAAGGGCTGATTAGCAGGGAGCTGATAAACCTGAGTGCCAGTGCTTGCGTGCCTGTGTGTGAGAGTATCTGAAAGAAGTGTAGAAACTCCAGCAGTACATCATCCATTCCCCTCAGCGTCCCCATGAACATAAGGCATAATTTCAGCGCTACATCAATAACTAGTTGGTGGAAAGTCACCTACAAGGAAGCCAGGGTGACTTCAGGTCTCTGAGACTTTCCTCTTCAGAATAACAGGCCTGCAACGCTCATTTGTTTTCCTGGCTTTAGGCCTCATTAACTGAAGCAAATTAGTATCTGTCATCGGTCTAACCTAAACATATCAAGCAAGGCCAGCAACCTGTTGGCAATGCACCTCAGAAGGTCCTGGCCTCAGAGTTCATATGAACAAACACAGAGGAACGCATGGAATCAGATCACCATTATCACTCCCTTTAAAGATAAGAAAAATCAAGCCAACAACTTGTTCAATGTCATAAATTAATCACAGCAAAGTGTGTGGCTGAGAAGGGAATCCAAGCAAACTTACCCTCTCTAACAAGAGGGGTCACACTGCAGCAAGCAAGAGTTAGGCTGTGCGTGCAGATGGCAACTCCACTGTGCTGGATTTTCTGAGTTAATTTGGGCTCTACTTTCTTAAGGTATCTTCCCCAAATACCTACTGAAAGACAAGACAGGAGACCAAGTGGACCTGCATGCCCAGCAATGACCAGACTGCATTGCCAAAGCCTTGCTGTGTGCTCCACAGCTGAGCTGGATGCTCTGCTATGGGTGAGGATGACATCTGGTCGTAGCTTGAGGAGACAGCCCTCATTCTGCCTGTCACAACAGGAGTACAACGAGAAGAACATTGCAGAGGGTTTCATGTTGGCATCGTTTCATTCGCGGCACATTTCACGTCCAGAGACAGGGACATTCCCTTCCTGCTCAAGCTGTACTCTGTACTGTCCAAGGCTTGCTACTTCTTGTGCGCCACAGCTAGACTGGATCAGTATCAGAGGAACTAGGAAAAAGTCTGATCATGTAGGAAACGAAGGAGGAGGGTGTGCTTCTAGTCACTCCCTCTCTCTGCAGAATTAGAGATCAGGTTTGGGAGTGAGACCCAACATGCGATGTCAGGATCCACATATTCACTAAAGACCCTTCTGTGCACATTTTCTCCTCTTTGCCCTATTGAGGAAGGGTTTTCCCCACTGTCTCAGCTGCTCTGCACACCCAGATGCTCTGCAGCCTCAGTTACACTGGAGGACGTTCTCAGCTTCCTGCTGTGAACTCTTGTCTCATGTTTCTCTGCCAGCTCCTGCTCTGCACTTCTGAGATGGCCGCACACACTCTGCAGCTCACAGGATGAGAAGATGCATGTGACAGTTGATGAGCAGGATCCTGGTGACCTAACCCACTATGCCTACAGGCAGTAACACTGGGCAGGAGGGGTGAGGTACTGTCCCATATGGCACACGCAGCACTCTTAGCCACGTAACTTGCCCACTCCCATTTTTATTCTGGGTGCCTCAAGACCATGATGAGCCCAGGAAGAAGGATGCACATCCTGCACCACAAACTGGATCATGCGCCAGGCCCTTCTGCTGTGACTCAGTAAGGCTGGGCCAGCGCATGAGTTCAGGCATTTAACAGCCAAGTTCCACATTTAATAGGCAGAGATCTTCTGATATCTTTGGGGCCAGCTGCTCCTCTCAAGCAGCTCAATGCCATGCTGAAGAGCACATCCCACCAGCAAAAGAATGGCTTGCACTGCCAAAAGGGACAACGGGGATCAACATCAGAATATTGCCAAGGAGAGAGAACTCAAAAATAAAATATCCAAGCAATAAAACTCATCCCAGGGTCTTCATCAGCCCGGTTATCTACCTCTGCTCTTGACACATCTCCCAGGGCACCCTGGGGTCGGGGAATGAGATTAAATTTTTCAAGAGTAGCCCCTGCTCCACTGGGAGAGGTCTGAGCAGAACGACATGGCACCTCCAGCCCTGACAGTCCCCTAGAGCAACATCTGCATTCCCCCTAATGTCACATGGGAATGTGACATGCGACACTGAGACTTTAAATAGGCAAACAGCTCATCTAAAACCACCGAGCTACAACAGGCGCTTCCATCCTCTGCTCACCTGCCTACACCCTCCCTCCTGCCTGAGCACATGAGCAGTGTGTAAAGGCTACTTACACCCATGTATAAAGACCTTCCTCACTCCAGAGAGGGTTACCTGCCTGTCCAAGCCTCCCAGCAACAGGGGTGCTGGGGAAAACTGCTCTGGGTAAGCTTTACAAAGAGTTACCAGCATAAGATGGGGCACAGAGACAGTATTGTGCACCACAATCTGCCTCATCCGCTTGCTGAGAACTTTGCTATAGTTCACAACTTTCCTAAAGGCCCTGTTCCTGGACCCAAGTAATTATGAGATGCTCAAATTCCAGTTTCAATTAGTTCCAGACCCTCACAGCTACAAAGAAAAGGTCAAAAACATGGTCTGAACAAGAGTTCAGTGCCAAACAGAAAAGAAAAAGAGGCTTTCAATTCCATGGCTGTCAAAACAAACCTGATGGTGGGCACCAAACTTACCGTTTCGGAAGATCACATCAGTAATGAAACCTACACAGGCAGAGGTGATCACAAGAACTAGCCTACAGAACAACACTCCAAACAAGTAAGAAAACTGTGTAGCCATGCAAGTGCTACTGCCTTGACAGGTACAACTGTATCATTTGAGATTCTCATCTTCACCTTTACCAAAATACTTTATTTGTGCTGACCAGGCCTACAGTTGTTCCTATTTAACAAAAAGGAACAAAGCAAGACTTGTGGAAGGCCAGATCTGTTAGGAATTATTTGCTCTGCTGTGATGATGGTTCAATGCATAGCAAGAAAATCCTAGACAGCAAGCCAACATGCTGGGACCATCTGAGTTGTGGAGCTCTGAATGCGTAAAGAATCTGCCAGCTCACTACGTGTGTCTACATACGGGGTGGAAAAGGTGAATTGGCAACAGCTGGGAAAGACTCTCCTCTTGTTGATAATAAACCACAAGAACAGTAAAAAAAGGTTACTTTTTAACCATTAATTTAGACACACATACACATAGTTGAATTTTCGCCAATATTGACAGAAAACCTTAAAGATGGGAACAGTCCCCACCCTACCGCCTCCAAAGCAGGCAGGTATACGCTCATCAATCCTCACCGAACCCTTGTTCTTTGACCTTATTTTGACTTTAATACAAGCAACTGACAGTCTCTGTTCTTGTACACTGAGACCTTCCTTACCATCACTGCCAGCGTCATTCCTCAGTGCCTAGCACAGCACAAGCGTCACTGCTGCCAAAGCTTTGGGTGAACAGGCGCATGGAGGCATTCCTATTCCTGTTCCCTCACCATAACCCTGCTTGTTTTCTTTAGCTGGGCCACACAAAACAAAGATTAAAGCAAATCTGGGGATTGTAAACCTGAGTCTTCATAGGAAGGCAGATGTGCAGTTTCCCAAGAGATCGGGGGAGAAATGGGATGCCTGTACGAAGACTACCATTTAGTGTCAGACACCTAACACCTGCCCATAGGCATCACAAGACTAGGTGTGACCCAACTTACCTTAGGGTGCCACGTCACAGGGAACACCTACGCTGCATTGTGCACCCAAGTTCCCTATGCAATATATCAAGGACCCTAAGAGTGGGACCATCTTGTAGCACATCTAGGAGGAGAGATATTTTCCCCAGTTTCTGATGCACCTGAGCTCCAGAAAGGGCTGCTTGGGGTGACTTTCAAAAGAACCCATGGAAACACATGCAACTGCACTAAGTTCCCATACTGGAGCACGGTGGAGGACTGGCCAGGCTAATGGAGTCAAACATACAGATCTCCCTCTCTGCATCCCAGCAGCATCTGATTATACCAGTGAGTTGAACTACCAGCTTGGAGATTATCCTCGACTGCCAAAGGCATGCGTGCTCAGGGGACAGCAGACAAGGAGGTCAACAGGGACCCATCATTCTTGGTGAACGCATATGGCCATCATACCTACCGATGGTGGAGATGACTTGTCCAGCAGGTACTTGTCCTCAAAATCCCACCGCGGCTCAGACTTGAAGTCAGCAGCCCTCAGTTTCTTCTTTTCTGTCATTGCAGCAGCCTTTGGAACAGGTTTTACAGTTTTCACTGATGCAGGAGGCAATTTTGGCTTTGTTTGGTCTTTGGATATGTTGTTTTCAGGAGCTCCCTTCACCCCAGAGGATGGTTTCACTGCTGCCTTCTCCTTGGCTCCCTCCACCCTGGAAAGTGGTGTCACTACTCTCTTTTCCTTGGCTTCTTTCCCCTCTGGGGCTGGTCTCGTTGTTGTTTTCTCCTTATTCCCCTGTACCCTAGCGACTGTTTTCACTGTTGTCTTCTTGATTCTCTCCAACCGTGGGGATAGTTTCACAGTCAGATTCTCTTTGGCTTCCTCCACCCTCGCAACCGGTTTCATCATTTTCTTCTGCTCCTCCTTTCCTTCCCATCTTGGTGTCCTCTCAACCATAGCTTGTTCAAGCCTTGTGATGTCACTCCCCAAAGTCACCTTGAAAAAGCTCCTTGAGTTCCCGTTATCAGAATAGTTTAAACCCTGTTGCTCTTGGGTGTTCACTCGTAGCAAATCTGGGGCATGTTGGAAAGTGTTCAGTTGCCTGAATGCAATCAAAGGAAAAGCAGACACATCACACACACTTTCCACTTAACACTGAACACCTTCCAGCCCATTTCTAGCGCTCTTGACTCTGAGCTCCGTTCTGTGCTTCAGAGCAATCACTGCATACGACCATACTCAGAGGACCCTCTACTCTGCTCTTGTGAGACCCCACCTGGAGTACTGCGTCCAGCTCTGGGGGCCCCAGTACAGGAGAGACATCGAGCTGTTGGAGAGAGTCCAGAGGAGGCCACAAAGCTGATCAGAGGGCTGGAGCACCTCTCCTATGAGGACAGGCTGAGAGAGTTGGGATTGTTCAGCCTGGAGAAAAGAAGGCTCTGGGGAGATCTAATTGCGGCTGACCAGTACCTGAAGGGGCCTACAGGAAAGCTGGTGAGGGACTGTTTATCAGGGAGTGTCGTGACAGGACAAGGGGTAAGGGGTTTAAGCTGAAGGAGGGTCGATTTAGGTTAGATGTTAGAAAGAAGTTCTTTACTGTTAGAGCGGTGAGGCACTGGCACAGGTTGCCCAGAGAGGTTGTGGATGCCCCATCCCTGGAAGTGCTGAAGACCAGGTTGGATGAGGCTTTGGGCAACATGGTCTAGTGGAGGGTGTCCCTGCCCGCAGCAGGGGGGTTGGAACTAGATGATCTTTAAGGTCCCTTCCAACCCAAACCATTCCATGATTCTATGACTTGCCTTGGCAACTGCCACTGAGTTTCTGCAGGATGCTGTATGAATTCATTTTCAACTTCACCAAAGCGTTATTCAACTTCCCACGCCATTCTGGCCTGAATACCGCTTATCTCCCCACTGAGCAAATCCCAGAGGCTACATGCTCCTCTTTGGCACTTGGCTCATGAAACATCCACACTGGCAGAACTGCAAACCAGCAGAGAATAGCTCTGCCTTGCACTGGGCAGGATCCCTGGCAATGTCCCCAGAGCACTGCAGGACTGTTTGGGAGTTCCCGAGTTCAGGACATGGCACACACACACCATGAAGGCAGCCATCTGGTGCTCTACCTTCCTTGCCAGCAGAGCCAAGTGCTGCAGCAACGGAGCGTGAAGATCTCCTAGAATTCAGTAAGGGAAGTCTAGTAAGAAGTGGAATTCACTCCTTTACCATACATCACTTGGGCATTTAGGACTACAAGGATCTTCTTCCTCTCTTCTTCCCCATTAGCCAGCTAATGCTATGGCATCACACGACACTTGCCAGGTACATGTCTTAAGACAGGCACTTTGAAGCTCTTAAAATACACTCTGAAGCTTAAAAATGTAAAAATCTCAGCATTTGCAGCAATCACCTATAATATTGCAGCTTCCCTGTTTCCCGATTTAGAGGCATAGGCAGGTACAAGGATATCACAGGAGGATACAGCTGCCAACAGCAGAAGAGCCACCTGCAACAAGACTGGGCTGAAACCCAGCAAAAAAAAAAATCAAGGCAGATGTGGTGGGGTTTTGTCCCAAACATTCATTCCTATCTGCTTGTGGCTGGAGCTGGCAAACAACTGCAGAAGCTCAATGATATTTACTGTCATTTTCCTCTCCATTTACAAAGCCCTAGGACAAATAGAAGATAAAGCCATGAAAATGCTGCTTTGTGTACTTTACGTTGCAAATAAAGGTACAGAAATAGAACTGACACACAGATAACCACATAAAGCTCGTGCCTAGTTGTGTTTTACTTAAGTTGCAAAAATACGGACATTTCCATTATCTGAAACTACAGCAGAATGAAATGGCTTCAAGCAGCTGGGCAGGGAGAGCCAGTTCTTCTCCCAGCTCTGCGATCAAGGACAACTCACTTCACTTCTCTACACCTCCTCCTTCTCTCCTTCCCCCCCCTGCCTCTGACCTCTCCAAATTGATAGCTGTCCTCAAGGTGTGGTCTCAAGTCACTGGAGCTAAACTCATGCCACCTCCAGAAGAGATGTAGGTGTTCCCAGCCTCACCCCTCCTGCCTGCCCCCACAGCATCAGCCCTGAAAGGTCCAGCTGAAAACTAACCCCACCAAGACAAGCCAGAGAAGCTCATCAGGAGAGCTGGGACCACATGAGGGCTGGTTTGGAGGCTGGGGAGCGGTGCTTCCTATACACAGCACGGGCACCAACACGTAGTGAGCCATGCTCGTAGTAGGAAAGGCTCAGGTATCTGCTGTGCTCATGCAAGGAACAGTGCTTCCTGCCAACAATGATGGAGACATTTTACTGCATTCTATACTGCAATTCCCTCCACAGCCATTCTTACAGGATTTACTTTAGCACTTACATAAAAAAGAACTATATATAGATCACATCTGCATGACATTGGTCTCCCAATGTAAGTATGCAGCATATTTGTATTAGGAATCAGATGCTGAACTCACTATAAATTCAAAGGTATCCCACCAAATTCAATGTCTAGCAGACTAGGGCTGAATGAGATCCTTCTGGGAGCCAGAGGAAAAGCCAATACTACGTGGTGCCAACGTATGAAAACAGGTAGCATTAGTAAAGCAAAAGCTGCTGCTGCTACACAAGGAAACACTGGAAAGCAGCAATCAAGCAGAAGCAAGGATTTGACTGTGGATCTTCCAGCACCGTGCTCTGATTGTGGTCTGCTAAAGCAAAGCAGTCATCTAACTCAGATCAGAAGTGCACGTTTCAGGGTAAAAAGACACAGAGAGAAAGAAAGAGAGCACAAGCACTTTATCCAGACAGTGCATATCACAAGGAAGCAGGTCTCTTACCCAAGAATTCTTGTCTTCAACAAGCCAAACAAGGAGCTGAAATTAGCAATGAAGATGCAAAAGTGTGTTAAAACAATAAGCCAAATGAGGGCTCTGGGAATTTTAGGAAGCCTTCTCCTGAAAAACCACATGGTGAGATGCCCGAGAGTGACAGGAGGCTGTGCTGCTGATGCCGAGAGGTGCTCGCTAGGCACTGCTTTCCAAAGGTGTGTTGAATGAAAGGGCTGGTCTTCTCTCTGGACTTCCCTCCAAGAACACGCACACCCTCTCTCCCCACACTCCCAGACACCCTGCACATGGATCCAGTTTCTCAGACAAGACAGCAGCTTTGCACTGTTCCCATCTATCACCCTAAGCTTATTGCAACACAGAGTGGGGAAAGAAACACCTTTTACTGCGCACAACGGAAGTTCCCTATACTTTCCTCAACAAGGTTAGTCCTGTGTAAAAAGGAAAACCTTTACCTCTAATCTGGTGGAAGCATCACTGGGAACATTTAAATTATGGAAGTAGCCATAGTTACAAAGAAATCAGCTTTCAAACCACCACCTGCCCAAGGGCTCAGGCAAGATTCTAGGCATAACCATAAACAGATCTTTATTCTTCATGCAGTAACTGCTTGTAGCTCCAACTGAGAAGCAATTCCTGCCCCCAAAGGCTGATGGCTAGATATGCATTCATTTAACCTTGTGATTGTTTTGAAACAAATCAAAGTAAGACTCCTTGCAAATCCACCGTAGAACATAGGAGTTTGTGTTTAAAGGCAGATTAGAAGACAGGGCTTAGAGTCAGACAGTCCCTTCCCTCTCTAATAAAGCTGACCTGCCTTTAGAGCAACTGGAAAAACTTCAATCCAGCATTTCACTTGTCTGAAAGGTGCCAACCCCATCACAATCTAACCGCTACTGCTGACAAACTTGTTACACAGGCCTGCCAGCAGCTCAGGTTCCCAATCTGAATCAAAAGTGTGGCATTTCAGCTCTGAGTTGCTTGTACAGACAGCAACAATACACACTCTTCAGCTGCTCTTCTTTTTGAGCTCTCAGTCAAGCTGCCTCCAGTACCAACACTAGGACTGGTCTTTTACCTTTGGCTTTTGAACCATCCCATCGTTTCACATGGATCACCAAGTGGCCAGGAAATGACAGCTATGTGAGTTCAGCACTAAAACAGGACCTAGATGGATTTAAGTCTGTGGCTAGTTGTAGAATTTAAAAGAACTAGAATACCCTGGAGACCCCCCACAGTACTATCCCTTGAAATTCGGTTGGTTTCAAGGGAGCATCTAATACATCTGAATTTTTATTCCACATAACACCAAAATAAATTCAAAGTTTCTCGTATCTGTGAATCATGCCATCACAGACAGACAGACAACTGCCTTCTACACTACTGCCCTTAGTGGGACCCTGCTTATTCGGGTTTTGTACAGTACAACCAGGCTCTGCTCATCAACAGTGTTATTTAAAACAGAGCTTCTCTAATGCCATGCGCACACGAAACGCTCCAAAGGTCAGGAATCCCTGTCGCAACTCCAGGGGTTTGCACTACACTTGATTTGAGCCATGAGTATGTTCAAACCTGGGATATGTTGCTTCTCATTGACAGGTAGCACCTGACAATCTCTCTCCCCATCCCAAGTTCCATGAGACGTATCTCATCCTCTCCTCGTCATGAAAATCAGTGGTCTGCTAGGAGATGAAGCTTTGGCAGTCCAGAATACATCTCCCCACCAGCCCAGGGAAAGATTAGAAGAGATGAACAGCACAGCCAGAGAAACACTTACCCGTACCACAGATGTAGTTTTATATGCTACAGCAAAGGGCTATTTTAACTCATGGGGAGCTGTTAAATATTAACCCTGACAGTTCAGGGGGAGATGGCCATATTGGTTCTTACAACATAGGCTGCTTTTGCACAGCTCTTATCAAAAATTAAGCTCAGATACAAAAAAGCTTTTGTTGACAATATCACAAATTTCAGCAGCTAACACTCACACTGTTACTGAATACACAGAGAACTGAAGATGTTTGCTTTAAGTTATAGGAAAGCTAGTCAACAGATTTCACACCTACGTTGTACCCCTCCACACCATCACAGCAAAAATCTGCAAGGATTCCCTCTACAAGGCTCAGCAGTAGCTGCATTTCTTTATTGTTCATACCTCCTGACAAGTTACTCTCTCTGGATTTAAGTGCAAGACATTGATTATCAGAGGGCCTAGGAGAGAAAAAAGAAACAGTAACAGGTTTGAAAAGCCCCTGAAGAAACACAAGGGAGGTTGTTAGTCCTGGGTACAATCCTGCCTCCATCTACATCAAAATATTTCACTATTGCTCAAACTGAGCCTAGGATCAAAGGAAATCTGCCGAACAACTACAGGCGCTGACAAAGGGATCAGCCAAGATATTGCTGTATTCCCGGGCAGCCCTCACTAGCTCCACACAATTCTAGAAAGGTGGGGTACAGATCTGGGTGTGCAGCAGAAAACTAGCAACTCTGTGCCCACAAGATCTCCAACAGGACATTCTTACAGGAACAAGTATCAGTCCTGGAGCACTGACATGCAGCATACAGAGCAATGGCTTCACTTCAGCCTTCCTCTTTCAAGCCCTACGCACCTTAAGGCATACTGCTTGGAAGAAGCTGCTTGTGTGAGACAAGGCTTTTTTTGTTAATAGGGTCCCAAAGGGAAACTCTGAAGGTAGCAAACGTTTTCCTTCAACCTCCTCCATGTAACATTACTGCGAAACCAAGAGCCACAAGGGATAGCAAGATTCCTACAACCAGAAAAAGACAGCTTTCTTTGCTTTTAAGGAACTGTGCTGGCAATTGTGGAGAACATGTCTGTAGTACTCTATGTTCAGCAAAGACTGTGCTTGGGGGAATATCCAAACCTCTGGCAGGCACACAAGCCAAAAGCAGGCTATGCAAAACACACAGCTTTTCATCTTCTTGGTGTAAGACAAGAAAACCTAAAAAAACCCCTATCAGAATACTGCCTTTCACTTCCTTGGAGTATTATTTTATCATCCTCCAACCCCACTGCTGAAATCAGTCTGTCAGAGCTCAGGCAGCCGGCCTGGTTAGCTCAAACATGAGGTCAGACTGGGAAATGGGGATGTACTGTAACTCCTCAGGGATGGCCTGGTGAAAACTGAGGCCAAGACCAGAACTGCTCCCTAATAAAGCTCTGTAAGAAGTATGATTCCTGGGATACCCCGGGCTCCCAGCCCACAGACAGGGAAACAAGTGAAGACTGCACCTAACATGGGGGTTGGCACCCTCTCAAGGGCCACAGGCCAGATGCCAGCCTCCTTTTTCAAACAAGAGGTTTTGCATGTTTCCCTGGCAGTCCCAGGAGATGCTGCTTCTCTCATGGTGCAGAGACTCTGAGCCCAGCACTGCTGCTCCATGTTCAGCATGTCCTACTACCAACGTCAATGCCCACACCAGAAGTTCTATTCTTTAGTGCTGTGAAAACAAGACTTTTTTTTTAAAGCAAACTCTACCTGGGACCATCAAGTGATGAAGATTATCTGTTAGCCCTTTTCCATTTCCAACAGTCCATTTAATTCCACATCTACTTAATAGCCTTAGTTACATCCTGGACATATAAAAGGCAGATTTGCCTTTCTGTTTGTTTTGTTGTTTTTTTTTTTTTCCATAAACAAACTTTATCTCCATTAGATCTTAAGCTGTGTGTGTGTGTTGTGGGTGTCAGTTAGAGGCTGAACTATGCCAACAATTTATCTGTGTGCACATTCTCCAGAGGGCTGTGTATCAAATCTTGTTTACTTGCCTGTGCCCTGTGTGCTTTCTACTTTCCCATGGCTCTGGGCTAGGTAGGAGAGCATCACAAGATACTTTAGGAACAGAGCTGTTCTACGAATTAATTGATCAAGCTTCACTGTAGGACAAACTTGTCTTTCCATGATGTCCACAACATACCAAAACCAGTACTTGACTGGAAGCCACTGGAATAAGGACCTGCTAATGAAACTGGGGATGTTTGGACTTGTTCACAATATTACTTGATGATCTAAGAACTGAGTGGGTTATAACTGGAAGAAAAAAAAAATGACATCGCCTGCAGCACGCTACTGCTCAGTGGTCATGCCTGTGGGTTAGCAAAGGCTAAGCTAGCAAAGGCTTGGCTTGGAAATGTTAGATTCTTGTTTTCCCCTCTCAGTTCAGTAGCCATCTTCAGAAGCACATGCCTTCAGGCTGGGGATCCAGGAGGGAAAGAAATTACAAGAGCAAATGCTGTAGTCACAGCTATTTGTCTTGCTTTCACCAAACAAAACTGATAGCCCAACAACTCCCAAGTGTGCCTTAATTCCACACTCACTAGCCATTTTCCAGCAAGTCCCTTCTGTGTTCTCTCAAAGACACCAAACACCCAGAGACAACAGCATTTATCAAGGCAAATCCCCCACCTCTTCTACCGCTGCACTTGCAAGAATACCCACAATTTAGTCCCATAGCAAAGCCTCAGAGAACTCCACCAGGAGGTGGGGGACAGCTTAGTAAACCAACTGGTCTGTGTTCTCCATGGGCTGAAATACCCCAGAAGAGAAAGAGACAGTGGCTTTCATGGTGGAACACTAGCAAGCACCTCCTCAGTGTCCACACAGAGTTGCAGAGAATGGAAAACTTGGGTTTGTTTTGGGTTTTTTCATTAGTGCTGTTTTGTCTGCTTGGTATGCAGCTCCACCCAGCTAATGCCCCAGTAAAGAAGCTGCCTTGAATCTATGTTGTAACAGCAGATGATACGGGTCCAAGCTGGAATATTTCCCCCTCTCCCACATGGTAACGGGAACATAGGCAGGCTTCTCCAGCCAGCTCCCACGCACCAGGGAAAGTCCTTGCCTGGAGCAATCACTGGGACATGGGATATAAATGCTCTGAATTTGCCCATATTGCAGCCTCTGGTCACTGTAACTGGAGTTTGCAGTTCCTTCTGCAAGCACAATGACTACCCAGCTATTGAGCACGTTCCCTATGGCCACGGCTATAGGTGTTAACCTCTCTGCATTGAGTGAAGCAAACCAAGACTTCCATTACACTGCTTTTCTGCTTCTTGAGCTCTTCACCGTTCACCTCATCCCACTTCAGCTGCAACCATGAA